TACACACGCACACAGAGGCAGACATAATAAAAACAACGTTTGATTAATGAAGGGAGCATACCCTGAACGAGATGCAAAGGAAGAAAACAAGTGAGAGCTAAAAAGGCTGATGGAGGTGTGTCTATATTTATATATATATATGGCAGAGAAACGGATAATAAGCTGAATTGGATGAAAGCAAGATACCCCGAAATGGAGGCCTTGTATTAACAACAAAATATATATGTACTTATTCAGCAACACATCAACGTGCCTTTTTGTCAAAGTTGGTATGAGTTAATACAATGTATACATGTAAAGAAGGAACAAGTTACGTTTCAAGTGTGCTTGATGGAACCATCTGGGGGTAAGTTATTTCCTTTTTATTTAATTTATATAATTATACATAAGATTCATTTGACAAGTGTTATGTCTCTTTTTAATAAAATATTTATCATCTAAATAATAGTTAGTCTAATTGATAATAAAGTATTTATATTCATCGATGTATATATGAAATAGACTTGACTATTAAATTAATTTTTATATTATTTTTAAATATTTGAATTAATTCTTTTACTATTTTTTTTTTCTCTCTTTTGGACTCTTTATTTTTTATTTTTTAAAAATATTTATAATAATCTATATTTGTTAAATGTCATTAATATTGTTACCGAATTTGTCATGAACACATGACTGTTTATCAGCCACATGGTGCAAAGGTTTATGTATTTAATTTTTAATTTTTATATATTAAAAATTAAAATATTTTTTTATACATTAAATGTCATATAAAATGTGATATAAAATTTATTTAATCAGAAATAATTACGAATCCAACTTATTATCATGTGACAAATTTATTGACAATATTAATGATATTTAATTGATAAAGATTAATACAGATATTTATCTAAAAACAGATAGACTAAAAGAATAAACATATTAGTATAGATACAAATTCAAATATTTAAAAATAATATATATACTAATTTAATATTTAGACCAATTAATACACACTGAGAGAAAAAATGTGCTTTAATATCATTTGGGTAAATTGTACTTCTACTATTAAAATAAAGTGAGTCAATATTTAAATATTTCATAAACATAACAGAAATAAATATTTAGGATATAAAATACTTAATGAAACAACACTTTATTTGTCGCATCTTATTCTAATACTAAAAGCTATGTCTATGATGATTTTTTTAATTTAAATAATTTTTTTTTTAAAAAATCAATGTAATTGATAAATAACTAAATTATTCAGTTGACTTTAGATGGCACCATGTATAGGAATATTTGGTCCTTAAATATGTGGGTAAAAATTGATGCAAATTTCTTTAATATATACAATGTATATGTGTGTGTTTGTGTATACATATTATAATGATAATTACATTGTTCTTGTAGATCAGCTGGCAAATGAAAATGGCTTTACGAAAATTATTACTTTACTCATTGAATTTTTCTTATATTATAATTAGTTACAATTTGTTTAAAATTGTTTGGATTTATGATATTTTTACTTGATGCTAAAAGTTTTGACAGAAAATCGACACTTTTTTTTTTTGCTTTATTTGTATTTTATTTCATTTCATTTAAAAACAAGATATTTTATTTTCTTTATAAATTTCTAAAAAAAAAACTAGTGAAATTATGAAAAAAAAGTATTAAATATAGAAAAAAATTTATCATGAAAAAAAAAAAAGTTTGCTTGCTGATTCTGTCTTATTGCTCTCTCCAATCCCTCAGCCTAACAATTAATAAAATAGGGCCAAGTCCAATTTTAAGTCTCAATTCATAAAAAGGGCCCATAACCAAACTATAGTTATTGCTTATATACGTCCAATAGATATATGTACACTGTAACAGCCCCGAAAATTTAAATAAAATGTATGTATTAAAATCTCAAATGCAGAAGCGTAATAAAAATTTTGATTAACATCCCTTACACAATAACAAAAACGTACTCAAAACATGAAGGAACAAACTAACTAAAAGTGATACTCGAAATAAGAACTATAAATATAACTATGAGGTCTTTAGGCGTCCCCTTCGTCGTCTTCCTGCGGGACGGGCTCGGGAACAACGTTTTCCTGATCTGAAATGGTTAAATAAGGAATGAGCAACACCAGCCCAGTAAAGACATCACACTATCTCACTGCTACGGAAGTAAAGGTGGGTAGAAAACAAAAATGACCAATGG